GACTTTATTTTTTGTTCTTCTCTGTTACTTTCTCAAGATAGACACATAAGTTGGTTACTTGAGATCGTTCTTCTTTCCTGATATAGTCAATTTGATGCTCTACTTTTTTGTGGGGGAGGGGAATTAGGCTATATCTCGTGACGCTTAGGGGCTATTCCTGGGTCTATGCACATGAAAGACCCCTGGTTGAATCAAATCTGAGACCACCTGGTGCGAGGCAAGTGCCTTAACCCTGAAACTATTTCTTTGGAGGCTGGAGCTGTAGATAGCAAGGCAGTTAGGGCGTTTGCCTTGCAAACCCAGGGCTGACCTGGGTTCGATTCCCCATATGGTTCCCTGAGCACCACCAGGAGTAATTCCTAAGTGCAAAGCCAGAAGTAATCCCTGTGCATAGCCCGGTGTGACCCAAAAAGAAAAGGAAAAAAAAAGAAAAAGAAAATGAAACTATCTCTCTGGTCCCCATAACCTATCTAACGTTTCTACTTCAGCCCTTTCCTCCTCACCTTCTGAAGCCCTTGATGCCAACTTAAGACTTTTTGGTATTATCCACCTGACACCCCCCCCAGGTACTGGCCTTTAAAATTTTTTTAATGTTTTTTTTTTTTTTTGCCTGTTCAGGTTGCACAACTTTTATTGATCTAACTTCAAAGTTCTCTGTCCCTTCTGCTCTTAAACTCATCCAGTAAATATTTAATTTGGTGACTGTTATTTTTCAGTTCTCAAATGAACATCTATCTTCTGGTTCTTTTTTATCTTCCCTTCCTTTGTTGATATCTCTATCTCAACAAATAGAAACAACGTGTCTCTGGACAAATCTTTCCATTTCAGGGGCTTCTCTCCTCCCTTTCTTTCTCCAATCCGATTATACCAGCTGCTGCGGAGTCTTTGCTTTAAATCCAAACACCTCGGTCATCGGTCATCTTGGGGGCTGGCTCCTTCCCAGGAGGAATTCTTTGTGTGCTGTGTCATTTCAAGTCGGACCGCAGATACTTGGAAATACGGTTTGGAGACGCTGGGCCTTGTGAAAGCCCCATAGGACAAGCTTGTTGGGTGGAGCGCGTGAGATTCCAGTCATCTGCCCACTTTGTACCAGGGTCCATCACCAAGTTTCATTTCCCAAGTTTGGGCGCCCCGCCCGGTTTGGTGGCCCCCGCCCGGCCTGTGCGCCACCTAGCGGTCAGTGAGACACTTTGCAGCTGTATTCACAGGGCTTGGGTCAGCCACTCAGTAAACTCGGTTCTGAAGTCCAGTCCCCCAGGGGTTCTTCCTGGGTTCCCTTTCCCGGAGGCTTCCCTTCTCCATCCTCTGGCCAGGAGGATGGAACTTGACTCACTCTACCACGGTAGTGGTGGGGCATTTAGGAATCAGAGAAATCAGAAATCAGGGTGCCTCGATCCTTTTATTTTTAGAATTTTATTTTATTTTGATTTTTGGGTCACACCCAGCAATGCTCAGGGGTTACTCCTGGCTCTGCACTCGGAAATTACTCCTGGCGGTGCTCGGGGGACCCTATGGGATGCTGGGAATCGAACCCAGGTCAGCCACGTGCAAGGCAAATGCCCTCCACACTGTGCTATCGCTCCAGCCCCGATAAGGCACTTCTTTGTATTCTACGCACCTGCTTTAGGGTGATTTGTCCCTGTCAGAGCTGACCCCTTTCAACTCCTTTCTGGCCCTCCACATTGGAACATTCACCTAAGCACAGAATCTCTAATCTCGGGGTGGGGCAATAGCACAGTGGGTAGTGCCCTTGCCAGGCAAACCCAGGTTCAATCCCCAACGCCCCATGTGGCTCCCCCAAGCCCTGTCAGGAGTGACCCCTGAGCACAGAGCCAGGAGTAACTCCTGAGCATTGCCAGGTGTGGTCCCAGAACAAAAAAATAAACAAGAATATCTAATCTCAGGGACTGGAGTGATAGCACAGCGGGTAGGGTGTTTGCCTTGCACGCGGTAATTTGGGTTTGATTCCCAGCATCTCATATGGTCCCCCGAGCACTGCCAGGAGTAATTCCTGAGTGCAGAGCCAGGAGTAACCCCTGTGTACTGCTGGGTGTGACCCCAAAAAAGCAATATATATATATATATATATACACACACACATATATATTTGTATATAAAATCTCTCAACAGGATTTGATAAAATACTGGCCACAGAGACTGCAGAAGGTGCTTACATATGACCAATGGTTATTTTTAGCTTCAGAGACTTTTTTTTTATCTTACAGTTTTTAATCAAGTTGCATATAAGATATCGTGGTTCCTGCATCTTCTTTTTTTTTGGGGGGGGGTCACACCTGGCGATGCTCAGGAGTTACTCCTGGCTCTGCACTCAGGAATCACTCCTGGCAGTGCTCGGGGGACCATATGGGATGCCGGGAATCGAACCTGGGTCAGCCGCGTGCAAGGCAAACGCCCTACCCGCTGTGCTATCACTCCAGCCCCCCTGCATCTTCTTAAGTGTTTCTTCCTTATATTTGTCCTTTTCCTACTTGGCAAGGCTTGGCTTTACATTCAAGTGCCTTTTCACGGTCTTTGTCCCATTTTGGTCCATTGATAAGCCCCGTACTGGGGTGAATGCTCAGACGGACTGCTGTGCCACTGGCCTTCTCCCGCTGGACTCAGTACAGATGACATATTTCTTCCTGTAAACCCGGGCTACTTTGCCAATTTGCTGACCTTTGCCTCGGCCCCTCATCACCTGAACCTCATCATCTTCCAGAGGGGCATGGACTGCACCTTCTATTTCTCAGTTCTCTGGAAAGAGGGGGAAGACGTGATCTTCCTACGAATGTGGGGAGGTGCGTTGGAATGCCTTTTACGGTTCTGGTTCTGGTCAGAAGTCATAAAAGAATTGAATTTCATTTGGGCTATTACCACTTCAGCCATCGCCACAGAAGGGAAGCAAGCCAGAGGCTTTTTCTTTTTTTTTACTTTTTTTGCATTTGGGTCACACCCAGTTATGCTCAGGGTTACTCCTGGCTTTGCACTCAGGAACTACTCCTGGCGGTGCCAGGGGACCATATGGGATGCCGGGACTTGAACCTGGGTCGGCCACATGCAAGGCAAACGCCCTACCTGCTGTGCTATCGCTCCAGCCAGCCCTGCTTTTTCTTTGGAAGAGAGGCCATACCCAATGGTGGCCTAGCAGTGCTAGGATTGAACTGCATGTTTCATATATGCTGACCATGTCCCCTACCACGCGAATCTCACCCATGGACTGTGGCTTATTCTTTCATGTTTTTTCTTTTTGGCTTTGGGCTACTCCTGGCTTTGTGCTTAGGAGTGAGTCTGGCAGTGCTTGGGGGCCCCTGTGTGGTGCTGGGGATCGAACTGGGATCAGTTGTGTGCACGGTCAGCACCTCACCCCCAGGCCATTTCTCTGGGTTTTTTTTTTTTTAGGTGGGGGTTGGGGGAGCAGGGGGAGCTTCCAAAAGCTGCTCAGGTGATCAGCTGACCAAGGGGCCACTGCCAGTGATATTCGGCCTGGTGGCAACGCTCAAGCCCAGGCATGACACAGTTCACCACCGTGGTGCTCAGGGGCCCCAGAGCCACGCCCAGAGGTGCCAGGGAACGAACTGGGGTCTGCCACACGCCAGTACTTGCTCCTGGCTCTGCGCTCAAGGGTCACTCCTGGCTGGGCTCGGGGACCTTCTGTGGTACCAGGGATCAATCCCTGGTCAGTCGCTGTCAAAGCAAGCACCGTGCCAGTCGTTGCTGTCACTCTGACCGGTTTCTCTGTCCTTCACTCTGGCTCTAAGCTCAGGGGCCATCGGTGCCGCTAGGAACTCGAACCCGTGTCAGCTGCAAGCAAGGGACGTGCCTTACCTGCTGTTCGATCTCTCCGGTCCCTACTGGACTTAACAGAAGACACCCTCAGTGGTCCTAGGGAAGAGGAAACGTGGTGCGGGGGCCAAAACTCTGGTCCTCACTCACGCTAAGCCTGTGCTTCCCGCTGGCGCTGCCAGCCCGACCCAGAATCCACCTCCAGGGACCTAGGCCAGGACTTAGCACCTATGTCTCTGGTCCTCTTTTTGGGGTCACACCAAGCAGTGCACGGGACTTAACCTGGCTTTGCACTCAGAAATCACGGCGCACTCAGGGGACCATATGGGATGCCGAGAATCAAAACTGCGCCGGCTATGTGCAAGGCCAGAGGCCCGCCCACTGTACCATTTCCCTGGCTCCTGGTCCTCTTTTTATCCCCCCAAACTTGACTTTCTGTTGTTGTTGTTTTTGGGGTCATACCCAAAGGGTTACTCCTGGCTCATATACAAAGGAATTACTCCTGGCGGTGCTTGGGGGACCTCATGGGATGCTGGGAATCGAACCTGGGTCAGCCGCGTGCAAGGCAAACGCCCTCCCTGCTGTGCTATCGCTCGGGCCCCCAAACTTGACTTTTTGAGTGGACTGGAAATGAGCTTCCTTCCCACCCAGAGCCATCAAAGACAGAAGATACCCAGCTCAGGGCATGCTTGTAGATAGACTTCTCATAGATTTATTTCTGTGTCACGTTTTATATATATATATATATATATAGACTTATGTATATATACTTTGTTTTTCTTTTTTAATACAATCCTCATTCCCCTTCCTTTCCCCATCAAATTCACCAAAGGAAGTCGGGAGAAACCCTTTTGGGATTGCCATCGGGCCTTTGCAGGCTAGCCAGGGCCGAGAAAGAACCATCTCTCGGCAACGTCAAGAGACGGGGCCCTTCCCAGGGAGGGGAGGGGGCGGCGCCCCGGGACCGGAAGGGAGGCAAGAGCTGTAGCGGGAAGGACTCTGGCCCCCGAGGGTGGTAGAGCCGGTCCCAGGACTCAGGGTGGGGACCCAGGTGGCACTGGTTGGCTCTTGAGAGGCTGCCGAGACCAGCCGGGGGCATGCGGGGTGGGGGGTGGGGGGGCTGCTGGGGCGACGGGACAACCCCACCTACTCGATGGCGTGAGTATTAGGAAGGCGAAGCGGGCAGAGAACGTGGCGGGGGGGGGGGGGGGCGGGACACAATGGGGCCAAATAAGAGAGTCGCGTCCAACAGCAAGTGCCAACACAAGCATGACTTGTACTTGTCTCCCGTCTACGCTTGGGGTGGGGAGGGGAGGGAGGTGGGGGGGGAAGGTACAGGAACGCAGAATTATCAGTTGACCAGGGGCACAGGAAGGCCCTCGGCGGGCTCCTGGGGGGCGGGGGGGGGGGGCGGGCAGGTGGATGGAAGCCCAGATGCCCACGGTGGAAACCACGGTCCCTTCAGTTCGACTTGGACCAGATCTTGGCGCTCCCACGGAGCCTGGCAAGGGGGAGAAGGAGAGAGACAGAGAGATAGGGGCTGCAGGGAGCCCCTCACCCTGCGGCCCCCCTCCCTGGCACACGGGCGAAGAGGGTGCAGGCAGCCCAGCTGCTCAAGGACAAGCGGGGTTCCCCGGAAGCGAGCGGCTCACCCCTTGCCCTTGGAGGCCTTCTTGCTGGGCTGGCGCTGGCTGGTGCCCGGGGCTGGTTCCCGCAGCTCCGTCAGGTGCTGCTCCGGGTCCTGAGAGGTGGCGGCGGCGGCAGCGGCGGTCGTCACTTTAATGGTCTTTTTCAGGTTGGCGACCTATCCGGAAAGGGGGCATGGAGGTGGAGTGGGTGGTTGGGGGGGCGGGGGCGGGGGAGGGGTGCGTGATGGCCAACGGAGCTCCCGGAAGCTCGGGGTTACCGCCCGCCTCGTCTGCCGGCTCACCTCGCTCTCGATCTGCTGCTTCAGGCCCAGCTGCTGCTCCTTGTGCTGGTTGGCCCGGCTCACCTGCTCCTCGATGCCGGAGAGGACCACCTCACAGCCCACACACCTGCGCGGGCACAGACAGGCGTCCGAGGGTGTGAGGGGGGGGACCTGTCATCATGCACTCACAAACAAGTCTCTCTCTCTCTCTCTGCTTTTTTTTTTTTTATTTTGACCCGGCGATGCTCAGGTGTTACTCCTGGCTCATGCATTCAGGAATCACTCCTGGCGGTGCTTGGGGAACCATAAGGGATGCTGGGGAATCGAACCCGGGTCAGTCGCGTGCAAGGCAAACGCCCTACTCGCTATGCTATCTCTCCAGCCCCTCTATTTTTGCTTTTTGGGCCATACCCAGTGATGCTCAGGGTTTCCTCCTGGCTCTGCACTCAGGAATTACTCCTGGCGGTGCTTGGGGGACTGAACCTGGGTCGGCCGTGTGCAAGGCAAACGCCCTTCCCGCTGTGCTATCGCTCCAGACCCATGATAACAGTTCTCGACAAGAATGCGGTGCAATACTAGATTTAAAGAAATAGGTCATTCAGGGGCTGGAGCGACAGCACAGCAGGTAGGGCGTTTGCCTTACACGCACGCAGCTAACCCGGGTTCAATTCCCAGCATCCCATCCCATATGGTCCCCCAAGCACTGCCAGGAGTAATTCCTGAGTGCAGAGCCAGGAGTAACTCCTGTGCATTGCCGGGTGTGACACCCCCCCGCCAAAAAAAGAAATAGGTCATTCACCCCAGAGAGCTTCCCTTGAAAGGGACCTTCCAAGCATAATATCTTTATGAAGCTTTCAGACAATGACAGAAATTGCAAATACAACATAAAACTAAATGTAATAACCTATGTAAAAGCTGTAACAGGTCAAAAATAGCATGTAAACTTAAATGCAAATAATGGTGTCGGAAATATTTCCAAACATTATTACAAAGTTTTGATAAGTAAAGGTAAAGGTAAAGGCCCTCCCGTTGATCGTCGATTTGCTCGAGCGGGCCCAGTAACGTCTCCATTGGAGACTTTGTTGTTACTGTGTCTGGCATATCCAATACTCTTGGTAGCTTGCCGGGCTCTCCGAGAGGGGCGGAGGAATCGAACTCGGGTCGGCCATGTTGGCCGCTTGTAAGGCAAACGCCCTACCCGCTGTGCTATCGCTCCATATCGTTAAATAATCAGGAGGGGGTGGAGTGATAGCACAGCAGGTAGGGTGTTTGCCTTGCAAGCGGCCGGTCCGGGTTCAATTCCCAGCATCCCATATGGTCCCCCGAGCACCGCTGGGAGTAATTCCTGAGTGCAGAGCCAGGAGTAACCTCTGAGTATTGCCGAATGTGACCCAAAAAGCAATTAAAAAATATAAATAAAATAAAAAAAAATTTTTTAAATAATGAGTTAATATTGTTAAAAAAAAAAAAGAATGCAGCACACTGGCAGCCAAACCCTGCTCAGGACTGGCACCCCTGCCAGGCTCCCAGGACGCCAGCTGCTACCACACTTGGGAGCCAGAGGATATTTTGGCAGGAACGAGAGGCGTGAGGAGGGCTTGGGCAGGAAGGGCTGGGGTGAAGGCGCCTGCCCTGCCCGCGGCTGGCCCCCACTCGATCCTGGGCACCGCACGGTTCTCAAGCACTGCCGGGTGTGGTGCCGCTGGGGCCCCCAGGCACGGCCAGGATGGCACCAGGAGTCCACGGCAGCACCAGCTTCTCACCCAGAGACAACTCACCCCTCCCGAGGATCTCTGGGAGGGGCTGCCGGGCCCTGAGCACCCTCTCAAAGAGGAAAAAAAAAAAAGGAGGTATAAGGAAATGCTTGGAGGGGCTGGAGCAATAGTACAGCGGGGAGGGCGTCTGCCTGGCACACGTCCAATCCAGGATCCATCCCCGGCATCCGATGTGGTCCCTAAGCACCGCCTGGAGTAATTCCTGAGTGCAGAGCCAGGAGGAGCCCCTGAGCACCGTGGGTGTGCCCCCCCAAAAAAAACACCCAAAATCCCAAAAAACAACCAGAAATGCTTGGAGTACATAAAAGCAGAAAATAGAGGAAGAGACACTCAAGAGAGATACACAGGCTGTGCCAGGGAACGGGGAGTCAGACAGGAAGGGCGAGCAGGGGGCGGCAAGCGCTGGTTCCCGCCACTGTCCCACCCAACAGCCTCTCAACGCTGCCCGTCAGGAAGGCCATGAAGTTAGGGCTCCTGCCTTCTGCCTCCCAGGCCCTCCCCCGCCTTTCTCCCACCAGAAGGATCTGGAAGAATGAGGATTCCCATGATCTTGTTTCCTCTTTTTTTTTTTGTCACACCTGGTGACGCTCAGGGGTATTACTCCTGGCTCATGCACTCAGGAATTACCCCCAGCAGTGCTCAAGGGACCATATGGGATGCTGGGAATCGAACCTGGGTCGGCCGGCGTGCAAGGCAAACGCCCTACCCACTGTGCTATTTGTTCCAGCCCCCTTGTTTCCTGTTTTTGTTCTGGGCCACACCTGGCGGTGCTCAGGGTTACTCCTGGCTCTGTGGACAGGGATCACTTCTGGTGGGCTCAGGGGACCAGATGGGCGGGGCCGGGGATTGAACCAGCGTCGCCCTGCACAAGGCAAACGCCCTCCCCGTCCTCCTCACGGTCCCCTTGAATCTCGGCTCTGAACTCCAGGACACTCGCGCCCACTTCCACGCGGCCCTCCCTTTTCGGGGCGCCCCGGAGTCTCACCACTCCTGCAGGGTCCGGGCGATGGCACTGAGGTCCTGGCGCTGGATGTCCCGCCCGATGCTGTAGTCCACCTCCAGCCGCTGGTTGCGCTGGTCCAGGGAGCCGCGGAGCACGTCGGCGTACACGGCCTCGATGACCAGATCCTCCAGCTGGCGCACATTGCGCAGGGCCAGCGCCTCCAGCAGCACCGCGTAGGGGATACACTGCGCCGGAGGGAGGACAGGGCGGGGGGGGCTGGGCGAGCGGCTCCGGGGGTCGCTTCCCTCCCCGGCCTCGGTCTGCCCTCCACTCCTGCTCCCATCATCTCCTCTCAGGGTTGGCTCCGAGGCAGAACGAGCGCGAGCAGCCCCGCCTCGAAAACGGAACAGCTTGGGGCCGAAGAGCCGGTCCTGCTGGCACACGGCCGACCAGGTTCAAGCCCAGGCACCCCTTATGGTCACCTGACCACTGGGTCGGCCAATCAGAATAAGACTCAGGGACGCCTGGATCAGCCCATCAGATAAGGCTCAGGCTAATGATGCGAGAGCTGGCCAAGAGACATGGGGGTCGCCAGGCAGGCAGGAGGGCAGGGGACACCGGAAAACAGCGCAGCAGAGCCATGAGCAGGTACAGCCGGGAGGGTGCGGCCTTGCACGAGGCCGATCTAGTTCAGCCCCTGGCATCCCAGCACTGCCAAATGAGTCCTGAGCACAGAGCCAGGAGTAAGCCCCAAGCATCGTTGAGTGTGACCCCAAAATCAAATCCAAACCCAAAGGAATGAAACCCCGAGCCAGAGGGGAAGCAGACACAGCCACTCCACTCCCCGGGGGCCCTTCTCAAGCTGGAGAACCCGGCCCTCCCCACAAGAGACCCCTGGACTTGGTCTCATCTGCGGGAGGCCAACCCTCACCCCAACATCCACAGCACACAGCCAAGCTGCTATATTGTCCTGGGGTCGCACCCCATGGTCCTCGGGACTCTCCTGGCAGTGCTGGGCAGGAGGGGCCCCCATGCGGTGCGGGGGATCCAACCAGGGTACCCGAACTCCTGGACTTTCGATTTGCACCCCAGCTGCTATCTGACCCCAAGCCCCAAAGCTGTTGTGCAGAATTGCAAATGACTGAAGGAAAAAGACCAGGGTAGGGGTTAGAGCAATAGTACAGCATGTAGGGCGTTTGTCTTGCACGCGGTCGACCTGGATTCGATTCCCAGTTTCCCATATGGTCCCCTGAGCACCGCCAGGAGTAACTCCTGAGTGCATGAGCCAGGACGAACCCGTGCATCGCCAGATGTAACCCAAAAAGCAAAAAAAAAAAAAAAACCAAAAAAACCAGGGTAGTCTCTGGGAGTATCAGACACCAGCCCAGGAGGGATTGGTGGGGAGGCAGGAAGTTCGGGGACTGGGGGCCCCGGGCAAAGGTGGTCCCGGTCCTGGCCACATGTCACTCACCTTGACTTTGGCGGCGAGAGTGACGACCGACAGGTGTCGAAGCTTATTCTTCTGAGCTTCCGTGAGCGGGGGGAGGTTCCGGGCCTCGGCTAGGAAGGAAGGACAGAGGGACCCCTGATTCCTCCCCTGCTCACGGGCATGTGTGTTGTTAATTTTCATGCCAAATCCTGTCTTGATTTGTTCCGGGGGGTGGGGGGAGGGTCCACCCAGCTGTGCTCAAGGATTCACTCCTGGTGGTGCTCAGGGGCGCTGGGGACAGGCACGTGGGTGGGTCGCATGCCAGGCAAGTGCCCTGCCTGCTGGACTCTCTCTCCAGTGCCAGCTCTACTTGTATGGAGGATCTAGGTGGGGTTGCACCCTGGAATGTCGCCAAGGCCCCGAAAAGTACCCTTCTCCCACTGCCCTGCTTGGGGCTGCTGCCCCTCCGTTACCGAGGTAGTCTGAGTATGTCCCGTATGCAAACACTGTGAGGAGCCGGAATGTGGAGGCGAAATCACTCTCGGCCAGCTGCAAAGACGAAGGGAGAGGAGAGGTGGTGATGTGCCCAGAGTGGGCAGGCCCTGCTGCCCCCTCCCGGCTATGCACAGGGGTTACTCCTGGCTCTGCACTCAGGAATTACTTCTGGTGGTGCTTGGGGGACCATATGGGATGCTGGGAATCGAACCCCGGCTGGCCGCGTGCAAGGCCAACGCCCTCCCCGCTGTGCTATTGCTCCAGCCTCCCTTGTCTGAACCTTCTTGCCTCGCCTTTCCTCTCCAGCATCGCCTCTCCCACGGGACAGCACCCTGCTCCTGCTCTCCCTCCAGGAGGACAGAGTCCTCCCTCCAGGCCCTTTGTCGATGACAGTTTTCAGATTTTGGTGGGGGGGGGCACACCTGGCAGTGCTCAGGGATCACTGCTGATGGCACTCTGGGGACCTCAGACAGTGCCAGGGATCCACCCTGGGCAGGCTGCGCACAAGGCAAGTGCCTTCAGCCCCGGGCTGTGTCTCCACAAAGACCGGTTGAAATTTCCTGCTGATGGGTGAGGGTGACGGAGGCACTCGCCATTGGTGGTTCTCAAACACTAGCTCACGGGTCAAAACCCATTGGTGTCTGTCCTCTCCCCAGTACACGAAGCTCTCTTCTCCCATCTTGGACCCAAAATTCATTTTGGGGGGCTGGAGCAATAGCATAGTGGGTAGGGTGTTTGCCTTGCACGTGACCGACCCGGGTTCGATTCCCAGCATCCCATAGGGTCCCCTGAGCACTACCAGGAGTTATTCCTGAGTGCAGAGCCAGGAGGAACCCCTGTGCATCGCCGGGTATGACCCAAAAAGCAAAAATCAAAATTCGTTTTTGTTTTGGGGTCACACCATATGATACTTAGGGCTCACTCCTGGCTTTGGGAGTTACTCGGGAATTATTCCTGGTGGTGCTCGGGGGGATCATGTGGGATGCCCGGTATCCAACCTGGGTCAGCTGTGTGCAAGGCAAATGCCCTCCCTGCTGGACTGTCACTCTGACCCCTCCCACCCCAAATCCAGGGCCCAAATGCAGCAGCCACAGCAGTTACTGAGGTCGGGGCTCAGACTGTGGCCAAGTCCCGCTGGTCTGCAATACTTGTCACCTCACCAGAGACCAGCATCAGCATCCCTGGGCCCCGTCACCAATCCCTCTGGCACTTCCTCAAGACAGTGCCACCTAAAAAAATCTTTCTCCTTGACAGATGAGAGATGCAGGTGCACTCTCAGAGCCGACCGTTCCTCTGATCGCTGCAGCCAAGTGCCTGGTGCTTTCTCTGCGGTTCTCGAAGGAGCGGCGGCGGGTTCCCCCAACCGCCAAAGGCTCGGTCTCTACTTGGAGGGCTTCTCCTTAACTCTGCTGCAGAGCGGGAAGGCTCGCTACCACTCTGTCCATCACAGAGTGATTCCAAAGACTCGATCACCCTGAAAACTGGAGTTTGTCCACATTACACTGCCACAGCATGGCAAGTCGGTGGCAAAAGTGTGGGTGTTGGGGCTGGAGCAATAGCACAGCGGGGAGGGCGTTTGCCTTGCACGCGGCCAACCCGGGTTCGATTCCCAGCATCCCATATAGTTCCCTGAGTACCGCCAGGGGTAATTCCTGAGTGCAGAGCCAGGAGGAACCCCTGTGCATTGCCAGATGTAACCCAAAAAGCAAAAAAAACAAAAAGTGTGGGTGTTATGGGCCACCCCAGCCTGTGGTTTTTTTTTTGCTTTTGTGCCACACCCAGCGATGCTCAGGGCTGACTCCTAGTTCTGTGCTCAGGCTCCTGGCGGTGCTTGGGGAAGCCTATGAGATGCCGGGACTAGAACCTGGGTCAGCTGCGTGGAAGGCAAGCTCCCTCCCTGCTGGACTATTGCTCTGACCCCATCTACCAGCTATTCTGGGATCAGGGATTTAAACTTCTCTCTCCTCTCTCCCCAAACCCCCCTCCTCTCTCTCTCTCTCTCTCTCTCTCTCTGGTCATACCGGGCAGTACCCAGGGCTACTCCCTGCCATGTTCTGGGGTTGCTCCTGACAGTGCCTGAGGGATGACATGGTACTGGGGATTGAACCCGGGGCCTCCCGCGTGCAAACCATGTGTTCAGCTCTTTGAGCAACTCCCTGACCTGTGATTTAAACTGAACACTCGGGCCGAGGATGGGCTCTTGGATGTATGAGACCCTGGGTCCCGCTTCGGCACCTCCAGGCTTCCCTACGCAAGGCTGGGGGTTTCCCCAGACAGAAATTACACACACACCCCTCATCTGCTGTTCTGGGGCGCTCCTTGCATCCTGCTCCAGCATCCTGCCGTGTGCCTTTGGGAATGACAACTCTCTCCTTATCTAACTTATCTGAGTCGTGCGAAGTGGGGAGAACAGGATGTGTGGATCTCACACTGGCTGCTGACAACTCACCTGATCATTCTTTTTGGGGGGGTTTTGTTTTGGGGCCACATCAAAAGGTGCTCAGGGCTTATTCCTGCCTCTTGTGCTCAGAGATCTCTCCTGGCAGGGCTTGGGGGACCATAGAAGGTGCCGAGGATCAAACTCGAGTCAGCCACATGCAAGGCTAGCATCTTTCCCGCTGGACTAGCTCTCTGGCCCCGGACTTCCCACTTCACCAGGACCTCACCTGATTATTCTACAACAGCAGGGAGAGGCAGGAACCGTTTCTACTTCCCTCTCACCCAGGGCTGGGGACCGAACTACTGAACTACTCAGGTCTCGAAATATAAGGCAGGCACTTTGGCATTGCGCCAGATCCTTGCTCCCAGAATTTCCTTTCTTCTTCTTCTTTTTCTGTTCTTTTGGAACCGCACCTGGCAGTGTTCAGGAGCTACTTGGGGCTTGTGCTTGGGGGTCACTCCTGCCAGTGTGTAGCCAACCTCAGTGCCAGGGAAAAAACCGGGCCATGAGCTCAGCCCAGTGAGCCATCTCTCTGGTTCTCATCTCCATTTTCCTTAGATGGAAAAGAAAAAAGGAGGGGGGGGGGGCAGGAGAGATAATACAGCAGGTAGGGCATTTGCCTTGCACACTGCCGACCCAGGGTTTATTATTTTTTTAATTTTTTTTGCTTTTTGGGTCACACCCGGCGATGCACAGGGATTATTCCTGGCTCATGCACTCAGGAATTACTCCTGGTGGTGCTCGGGGGACCATCTGGGATGCTGGGAATCGAACTCAGGTCGGCTGCGTGCAAGGCAAACACCCTACCCACTCTGCTATCGCTCCAGCCCCCTGACCCGGGGTTCAATCCCTGGCATTCCAAATAGTTTCCTGAGCGCTTCCAATAGTGATCCCTGAGTGTAGAGCCAGGAGTTACCCCTGAGCATCGCTGGGTATGTCTCCCAAACAACAACAACAAAAATTTAGAAAAGGAAAAACATTAAAAAGCGCAGGGTTGGTTTTGATTTTTGCAGATCTTAGTGTCTAGTTTAAGAGGCGAACGCCAGATGATTCTTCTAGCTGCTTCCATACTTGGTATTTTATTTTTGGTTTTGGTGGAAAACAGATTTCAGAGAGGTTTCTGGGAAAAGGGGTCAGTGTTTAGTCTTACAGCCTTTCAGAGAAAATTCAGGCGGTAAAATACAAGTGACTGGAATCCTAACAACTATAACAAGCCTTTAGATTGGTGGGGCAGGGCTGGAGTCAGGGGCCTCTTCTACATCAAAATGAATAGTCCCTGGAGCTGGAGCGATAGCACAGCGGGTAGGGCATTTGCCTTGCACGCAGCCAACATGGCCAACACAGGTTCGATTCCCAGCATCCCACATGGTCCCCCAAGCACCGCCAGGAGCAATTCCTGAGTGCATGAGCCAGGAGTAACCCCTGAGCATCGCTGGATGTGACCCCAAAAGAAAAAAAAAAATAGTCCTGGGGCTGGAGCAACAGCCCAGCGGGTAGGGCATTTGCCTTGCATCGGCCAACCGGGGTTTGATCCCCAGCATCCCAATGGTCCCCTGAGCACCGCCAGGGGTCATTCCTGAGTGCAGAGCCAGGAGTAACCCCTATGCATCGCCGGGTGTGACCCAAAAAGCAAATAAAAAAAAGAATAGTCCTGGGTTCGACATATCTCTCACCACCAGAGAGAGCCTAAGAGGTCTGTTTGCTTCCAATGAGGCTGCCGATGAGCCACGGCTTTTGTTGCTGTTTAACTAACCGGTTATGGGGTTGCCAAAAACGAGCCCTGCCCCTTCCATCCTCCAACCCAAACGTCTGCCCCAAGCTGCCCTCGGGGCACCCACCTCTCTGACATTAGGCATATCCAGCAGTTCCCCAAACACGTAGACGCCAGGGGCCTCCAGCACCTGGTGGATGAGTGTGGCCAGCGCCGCCCCCTTGGCGGACTTGGCCAGGAGCAGAAACTGCTCCTGGTTCTGCCCTGCCACCTTCACCTCGGCACTCATGGCTGGGTGGGGGGACCTGGGCTCCCGATGTCTGGAGCTGCAAGGAAAGAGGGCGGGAAGCTGGAGGCCCCTGGACGCGGGCGGGGGGGTGGGGCGGGCAGTCCCGGGGCTGGGCTGCAGGGACACGGGGCTGGGGGTGACCTGGCCACGCTGGGGGGAGGAGGGCTGCGACTGGGGGGCTGCCACGCCCACCCTCTCCCCCCAGCCGGGGGCCTGGCCCCGAATCCCACCAGATGCAGCCCATTGAACCCCCGGGCACTGAATGAGGCGAGGGGTGGGGGGCGGGTCACATGATGTCCACCCCAACGACGACGCTCCCTCCAGCCTCCACTGGCGCCCCAAGGCCGCCCCCCGGCCACGTGACCGCCCCCGCACGCACCTCCACGTGGCTCCGCCCCCCTCCCTTAAAGAGGCCGCCCCGGGACCGTGGGCTCCCGCCGACTGCCCCGTCGTACCCTGGGTCAGACTCTGCGGGCCGCTACCTGGAAGCTTCCTCTTCCAGCGCGCCAGGCGGGGCCGCAGCTCCGTCACCTCCGGCAGCTGTTCCGAGCCTTTCCTGCCACCTCCCAACCGGGCCGCTCTGGCCCCTCAACTCTATGACTGACTTCCGGCCGCACTTCCGCGCTCACCAGGCCGATTTTGGGGGAGGGGGCGGGACATCATCCCGCCCTCCCATTGGAGGAGGAGCCCGTTCGTTATAACGCGCCTTGTAGTTTCTGATTGGCTCTTGCGGCAAAACTGGCCGGGTGCCCTGTTTCTATTTGGTTTCAATAAAACTTTATTGTTTGAAGAGGTCTCGCACAGGATGCAAGGGAGCCGCGTGGTTTCTGTGCCCTTGGGTTCTGCGTGGACTCCGAGCGGAGATCAGGAGATCCGAACTGCTCAAAGTGCCTTAAAAGAGATGAAAGCTAAAATGGAGAGAGAGGAAGAAGGTTAAAAAAGTGCGCCCCCATATATATATGTATATATATGGGAATGACCCCAAAACACCACCTATCTACATATATATAAACACATATACGTATGTATGTATACACACACATATATATGTGTATATACATATATACATACAGCACACACACACATATATCTATGTTTAGCAACGGATAGCACCTGGATAGCTAAACCGCTTTTTTTTTCTTTTGTGGAACCCCGGGTGCACCTCACATTTTTGTTAGACTTTTTCTCCACTAAGCCAGCTTTTCGCCACTGAGCCAGTTTTCTTGTTTTTGAGGAGGAAGCAAATAGAAGAATGGTGACGAAAGGATACCTTTGCCCACGTTTCGAACAGGCTAATGCCAGAGAGCAGGAGCTACCAACAGGCAGCTGAGTCTGGGTGACATGATATAACCTTGGAGTGTAGTATTTGGGATGTCCTGGAAATGGTCACAGTCTTGCTTGGTAACCTTGGCAATCTGGGAATGTTCTTCCAGTGTGCTCATGTACTTAAGGTTGTCCAGATCCTGCTTTGCAAAAGAACATACTTGGGAATTTTTGCTTCTGTACTGGCCTGCCAGCCTCCTGCAAACAACCCATCCCCCAGGAAATACTCTATAAAAATGGAGTTCTCGCCTTTGTTCCGGACTCAGTCATTGGAGAAGAGGGGTTCCAACAGCATAACTGAAACTTAGTTTTCCCATTTCGCAGAGTGTGCCATTTGGTTTTTTACTGACTCTTGGCCAGAATTTCCAAAACAAGAAAAATAAAGCAAATAATAGTAGCTCACATATATTGAGTATTTACCCTTGGCCAGACAGCTTTAAATTTTTTAAAAAATATTTTTATTTTTGGGCCACAGTCAGCTGTAGGCAGGGCTTACTCCTGTTAATGCACTCTTGTTGGTGCTTAGGGGACAGTTTGGGTTACTGGGGATTGAACCTGGGTTGGCATCATGCAAGGCAAGCAAAGCCCCCTGCCCATTGTAGAACTATTACTTTAACCCCCAACTTGAATTCTTACACCTTCCACAGTCCCGAGGATAACTCCAAAACATCATCTTTCATAATTACAAGTGTTTTGCCATGCATTACCGCTTAACTTCCCAGGCAGGGGAAAAAGAAATTCTACTTGAAGTCATGTTATTCTAATTTTACAGATGAAGAAGTTGAGGCTCATAAAAGTCCAGGATTTGCTTGAAACCCAGGTCTTTTATTTTTATTTTTATTTTTTTGCTTTTTGGGTCACACCTGGTGATGCACAGGGGTTACTTCTGGCTCTGCACTCAGGAGCTACTCCTGGCGGTGCTCAGGGGACCGTATGGGATGCTGGAAATTGAACCCGGGTCATCGGCCGCGTGCAAGGCAAACGCCCTACCCGCTGTGCTATCTCTCCAGCCCGAAACCCAGGTCTTTTGAAACAGAAGATACATTCCATTTGGCCACGGGACTTTTGTAAATAAATAACAACCTTTTTTTTTTTTTTTTTTTAGTATTTCATTCCTCTGATCAGGCTTGCAGAGGCTACTTGTGGAATTACACAGAACTGAATTTGTAATTAATGTGTGTTAGAAAAACAATTTCTAAACGAAAAGTTCTATCCTAGAGTTGAAATGATCTCTGCTAAGCACTGAAATAAGAGCTTTAATTTAATTCATTTGAAGCTTATCACAGTCCCTTGCTGCTATTTTCAGAGAGAAAATAACTAAAGCCCAGGGAAGTTCGGTAATTTTAAATAATGGAAAGGAGAAAGTGCCGTTAGAGCACAAATGAAGAGAGAACCATAGGACTTGCATACTATGGGCCACATGGTTTGGCTTATGGTTGAAAATAGAAAGGAAAGAGCTCTAGGAATGATAATTCAGTGGGTAGGGCATTTGCTTTGCACATAGCCGATTCCCAGCATCCCCGATGGTCCTCCAAGTACCACCAGGAGTGATCTCAGGGTGAAGAGCCAGGAGTAAGCCCTGAATACCGCTGGGTGTACCCATTACCACCACCCTTAAAAGAAAAATGAAAAGAAAGGTTCTGGAATGTGAAGCGAGAGAGGTTTGGAGCCCAAGGATAGTTCAAAGATCTAGAGCAGATGATTTCCCTGCTGGAGCCCTTGGTTCAACTCCTAGCAGTGCATGATCCCCTAATACAAAACTGGGAGCAGGCTTTGAGCACTGTTGGGTGTGGCCCCCAAATCAAGTTAAAATAACAAAAACAACTAAATAAGAATTAAAAGATGGCAGAGATGTCTCTAGACCCTCACAGCAGGCTGAGTGTCATATTCAGGGCACCCCAGAGCGGGCCAGGTGAGCTCTTTACCCATCCAAACAGAGCCTCAGCAACCGAAAACCTCCATTGGGTAATCGTCGCCATGCTCACAGCCGGACTCTGTATGTTTGGAATGAGCCTCATCCAGGAACAAATCTGTGGAAAATCTCAGGTATATGGGTTTTGTGACTGAAATATCGAGGCTTTCATGGAGTCCGAAATGGGTGACCTCCCCCCATGTCCCCGTTCTTCCGGGAGCCTGGCAGTTATGCCCATGAACTGCCTCTGGTGCCATGTAAGTTCTTTAACCGGCCACGATCTATAGATTCATAAATAAATCTCAGAAGAGACCAACAAGCTGCAGAGATACTTCTGAGCCCCAAAGTCACCAGCTAAAAATTTCACTCTAGCTCTATCACCCCATTCAAAATTTTAGAATTCCTGGAGTGTATGGCCGCAAATGCTCTCATGCTCCACACCACTGATATACCACTGATATAACAGCAGTAACACTCCACATTGGATGGGATGTGAAATAGAAGACAACCAACCTTGATGAGGAAAATATTAGCACACAAGACTCAACCTGTAAGGACCTGCCAGTAATCTCTTATCTAAGGGCTTAATGGCTCCAGGGTGAGACACGACAATCCTCATACACTTTCTTCTAAGGAAATCTTTTTTGATCATTTTTAGGGAATTATTCATAACAAGCAATACAAAATAAATTATTTAGGGCCTGAAATTGGGTCAGGCTTGGGTGGTGGCTGGGAAAATTGGAAATAAAGATGGTGGGAAGGTGCAATAGTGTTGGAATATTGAATGTAATAAATCATCATGAACAACTTTATAAAAATAAAATATTTTTTAATTTAAAAGAAATAAGAAAGGAGTCAGCATTGGTTCTCTCTCTCTCTCTCTCTCTCTCTCTCTCTCTCTCTCTTTTTATTTTTTTCTTTTTGGGTCACACCCGGCGATGCTCAGGGGTTACTCCTGGCTCATGCACTCAGGAATTACCCCTGGTGGTGCTCAGGGGACCATATGGGACGCTGGGAATCGAACCCGGGTCAACCGTGTGCAAGGCAAACACCCTACCGGCTGTGCTATTGCTCCAGCCCCAGCATTGGTTCTCTCTTATTTTATTTTATTTTTTGCTTCTTGGGTCATACCCAGCGATACACAGGGGTTACTCCTGGCTATGCACTCAGGAATGACTCCTGGCAATACTCAGGGGACCATATGGGATGCCAGAATTACTCCTGGCGGTGTTCAGGGGACTGACCTTATGGGATGCTGGGGATCGAACCTGGGTCGGCCACGTGCAAGGCAAACGCCCTACCCACTGTGCTCCAGTCCCTCTCTCTGATTTTAAAGCCCTTGTAGCCTTACGATAAAATTGAGAGAAAGGCACAGAGAGTTCTACTGTCTCTCCCGCAGGCATAGCCTCCCCCAGGGTCGACTGCACTTATCAGATTGGTAGTTCTTCTTTGTGGTTTTTGTTTTGGGGGCCATGCCCAGTGGTGCTCAGGATTTACTTCCAGCTCTGTACACAGGGATCACTCCTGGTGGGGCTTGGGGGGCCATATGGGATGCGGGGGAGGGAACCTGGGATGGTTGTGCACAAGGCAAGCACCCTACCCGCTGTTCCACCGCTCCAGCCCCAGTTATTTATTTTTACCAAGAGTAAACCTATATTGCTACATCACAATCACCCGAAGCCCATAATTTACCTAAGTGTTCCCCCTGGTGTTATTATACCTTCAGTGGATTTCGAAAATATATAATAGCATGCAGCCATCGTTGGCTCAGGCAGTGTATTTGCGCTTCCCTAAAAATGCTCTGTGCTCTAAGCAGTTATCTCCCCCTCTCTAATCACCCCAGAACCCCGCATCTACTGATCTCTTTATTGCATCCCTCGTTCTGCTTTTTCCAGAATGTGATGGAATTTTTTTTTTGTTTGTTTTTTGGGTCACACCTGGTAATGCTCAGGGCTTACTCCTGGCTCTGCACTTAGGAATTACTCTTGGTGGTGCTCAGGGGACCATATGGGATGCTGGGGATTGAACCCAGGTGGGTGGTCTGTGAGGCAAACACCCTCCCCACTGTACTATCACTCCGGTCTGGTAATTTTTATTTTGTTTTGAGGACACTTATTGTCTCATTCCTACTTTGGACAAACTTGCAGGCTATCGAATGTAGCCTGCCCACAAGGCAGAGTCTGGCAAACTCCCCGTGGCATACCCAATATGCCAAATACCAGTAACAATGATGGGTCTCATTCTCCTAAAGAGCCTTGAATATAATCTCAGGGCTAGGATGAAAGAGACGTTACTGGGGCCTGCTCGAGGCAATCGACGAATTTGAGGACACATACCCAGAGATGTTCAGGACTT